ATCGAATTAGCCACATCAAATTTCGATTTTTCAGCGGGATCAAAATTTGCAGCCACACCGCGTACCTTGTGTAGAAATTGAAGTGTATAAGTAGGGCATGGATTCATGAGAAAGAAGAGGGGGTCGAGGCACTTGTACCCTCCTGCGGTAGTTCCATAAAACATGCTAACATGAGAATCCATGGCGACGGGCAAAATGTAATGGTCGAGATCACCAGATAGTTGTGAAAACAAAGGGCTAAATCTCAGCAAATAAGGCTCCCTACAAGTTGTGCCCTCAGGGCAAACTACTAGGTCACCTTGACTCAACATTTTCTTCATTAACAATGCATCTTGATTTCTATTGCGTGCTAATCGGACGGTTTTGATTGGCGCTAGGAGCTCAGACATTCGACTTAGACTGTATGTAACTGCTGTTAATGGAGACTTGAGTCCATAAGAGATCATAAGAGGATCCAATAAGGTCCTGTGGTTACACACATATAAAAGGCCACCTTGACTTCTATTATGTTCTTGTTCCGAGGTAGAGTCGAGGCGCCTCTTTGGTACGTTCTTTAGACGAAGTTGGATCCCGGTGAAAGCTAGTATAGGAATGGCTATATTATAAGGCAATGACAAGGCAATGAAGCTCCTAATAATAGATAGAATACATCCCATAGGAAGCCACATGAACATGGATAGTGTAGCCAAAAAAGATGACCTAAAAGCCAATCTCCCATCATGGAATATCAATGGCTTTGGATATAAATTCCTCGGAAGTTGATTCCAATTCCTTCTGTCTCCTTCACTTACCAAATAAATCTCCTGTTGCATAAAATTCAAGAAAATATTAACTCATAAACACATTTAGTACGCTGAACTAGACAACATTAGACATAAAGATTTTAAACGATCACGTTTCTGGTCGAGATTTAAAATTACCTTACAATAAGAAAACCATTGGGAATCAAAAGATTTCTCGAAGCTGCTGACTCCAATAAGATTAGATGCATTCTTCTCGAAAAAAAATTCTCTTTTTTCTTCCATTAATCCTAGAAAGTAACCACCAAAAACCCTTAATTCTCTTCCATAAACAGACTCAATTTCTAAGTAATCTCTCAGAAAACTCTCAATCATTACTTGAGGCAAATTGCTTATAGCCACTTTCTTTTTACCTCTATTCAAGACCTCAAAAATTTCCATCCCTACATTTTCAAGAAAATATTTCGGCAAAACAGCACTTCCTGCTCTAAAACTGTCCTCCTTTAACCCAAAAAAACAAATCATTACCATAATTTTCAACCCGAAATCTTCGTTGCAAATATGAATAAAAGGATAACAAACGAAGAGCACGAAAGCCCTTAAAAGGCTTCCAGCTTCGAATGCTACCAACATGAAGTAAGGAAACAAAGAAGAAGATTTCAANAAACGCTAACGTCTCAAAAGTTTCATGCATTTTATCTTCTAATTAATAACTTGTGTTATGTGTGGGTCTCAAAAATTGAAATCCTGCAGTGTAACCCATACTTAGAACTTTGCATCCGTATGATAGTTCCAAATACAAAATTCTACAAGTATAGGATTCATGTACTTAGGAGTAAATTGGGGTGACCATGCTTTTGTATTAAGAAATTGTCGAGCCCTTTCATATAAAATGATTAAATTAATATATAGGATACTTTCAGTAGGGCCCTTTATATATGTCTGATTTAACCCCTGTTTGTTTCTCATTTTTGGAAAAATGAGAATGAAAAATATAACTGTAACAGATCCCATACAAAAGATATAAATTCAAATTTTGTGGCTTGATATAATGGATAACGGTCATATTTTTCATTTTAATGAGAAAAGAATGGGAACCAAACAGGGACTTAGTTTATCATTAAAAATCTAATGCATAAAATTTGGTGGGACTTAAAATAGAACATTTGTTTACCAAACACAAATAACGTTATATGTTTTTGTTAAATTCCCTTACATACACTAATTACTAAATCGTTCATCAACAAATATTCGTTTTATATTGATCAACTAAGAGGAAATTGTAGAAAGATGTATATAAAAACTGCATCCCAATAATTTGTTTGGGTGGTCTCAATTTATTGTAGGATATGTTTAGTGTTGTACTAAAAGATTAGACACAAAATATAGCATTTTCTTTATTTTATCGAGCACGTCATGCTAAACATACCAATCAAACTTTTTTGAAGTTTTCTTGAATTTGAACTGATTTAAATTCTTATGATATGGGCCGGGTTGACTTTGAATTGTATTTGTAGGTGTTCAAAATGCTAAAAGCTGAAAAGGGTAATCAAAAACTTAGAAGATGCATGTACATATACAATATAATATCCATTAAGAAGCATGGGCATAGCAAGGGGCTCATGACTTGCATGTGTATTGAATGCAAGTGATATAAGCCATGTTCACTAAGAATTTCTTATTCTTTTTTTGCTGTCGCGTCTAAGGATAAAGATTGTAGAAAAGTCAATAAATAATAGTTGATATCGAGATGATGATGCATTGAAAATACGTAGAGTATATCCACCAACGCGCAATTCGGTTTTGGTCAAACGGGATTTCCTCGTCTTTTTCAAGAAATTTTTATCATCTCTTGAACTATATGAAGAAGCATCCAAATTTTTAAGGTCACCAGTTTTTTTATTTATTATTATTATTGTTATTATTATTATTTGTTTTAGTGAAAAAAGGGATCTTCGTAGAGAACATTTATGATGTACTTCATAAGGGTAATTAGCACAAAACGTCCCTATCTCTCAATTTTTTTATAGAAAAGGTCACTACCTTTCATTTTTTAACGGATTACACCCTCATCTTTACCTTTTTTTTGAGCAAAACGTCCTTTTGTCAACTCTCCGTTAAATAAAAAGGGTAATTAGTACAAAAGGTCCCTACCTTTCAATATTATTGTACAAAACGTCTGTACATTTCATTTTTTAGCATAATTAGCACAAAAGGTCCCTACATTTCAATATTATTGTGTAAAACGTTCATAACTTTCATTTTTAGCATTTTCACCCCACCTTTTACTTTTATTGCTCAAAAGGTCATTTTTATCCATTTTTTTCAATAAAATGAAGATTTTAATTAGGGCTGGGCAAAACCCAACCCAACCCACTCAACCCGATCAACCCAAACCAACCCGATCGGTTTGGGTTGATTTTTTAAGTTCAATTGGTTGGGTTGGGTTTCGGGTTATGATTTAAAACCTAACCCAACCCACACTAACCCGATGAATTAAAAAATATATATATCTAAGATGAAAAAAAAAAAACTTAAATAAACACAATAGTAAAGATATAAAAATGACTTATAATTTATAAACGTCCATTTTTTTTTTATATAAATTGATTCCTATGAACACAATTTACAAATGAAATATTATTTCATAATAAAGTAAAAATTAAGAAGATGATGATGAAATGAATAAATCCCAAAAAATTGTAAAAAATAATAAAAATAATAAATACTTCATAAATTTTAAACTTATTTATACATCATTTTTCAAAAAGAATTTCTTACATAGGTATTTAAAAAAAAAAATCAGAAATTTTCAAGTAATTTCAAACTTTAAAAATTTATCTAAATTTAACAAAAATATAATCGAATCCAACTTTAATTGGACCAAAGCCCAAACCGACCAATCCAACCCAAACGAACCCAAATTTGATCGGGTTGGGTTGGGTTGATTTTAAATAAAATCGACAATGTTGGGTTGGGTTTAGGTTGGGGAAAAAACCGACCCAACCCAACCCATGCCCACCCCTAATTTTAACCTCATATTCAAATAAAAGAAAAGAAAGTTAATTAATTAATTAATTACAATCATAGTTCTAAATCTTTCAAAACATTATAGATAAGTTCTAAATTCTCTATTATCGCCACTTTCACAACCCCATCAAGCCACCACCAATAGATCCATATAACACCACATTTCGGCCACAACACTTATCGAACTCCAACACCACCAGCCTCGCCTCACTCTCCCCAATATCCTCCTCCATAGTATTGGTCACCAATCTATTCGAAACAACCACATTTACGGTGGTGGAGTCCGTTGGGCATGGTGGCCGAAAGATGGTGTTATGTAGATTTATAGTTGGCAGTTTAATAGGTTGTGAAAGTGGTGGTGGCTGAAAATTTATTATTTCTTTGTAATTTTTTAAAAATTTAAGGACTATGATTGCAGTTGATAATTTATCTTTTCTCTTTGTTTTATTGGAATAGAATGGTAAAATCCTCATTTTATTGAAAAAAAAAAAAGGGATGAAAATGACCTTTTGACCAATGACAGGTAGGGGTGAAAATGTTAAACAATGAAAGGTAAGGACGTTTTGTACAATAATATTGAAAATATAGGAACTTTTGTGCTAATTATGCCAAAAAATGAAAGGTTTGAACGTTTTGCACAATAATAATGAAAGGTATGGACCTTTTGTGCCAATTACCCTTTGATTTAACGGAGTATTTTAACGGGGAATTGACAGAAGGACGTTTTGCGCAAAAAAAAGGTAAACGTGAGGGTGTAATCAACCAAAAAACGAAAGGTATGAACCTTTTCCACAAAAATATCAAAAAGTAGGGATGTTTTGTGCTAATTACCTTACTTCATAACTATTAATATGCTCAATTAGGCCATAAAAAGGTTGAACTCCATTATTTTCCACTTCATCGTGTTGCTTTTCCAACTCGTTCTTGTAATAATCATAAGTTTATCTTCAAAGAGAGAAACAAGGTAATCAAAACCATATGAATCATTGCTCTATAATTTCTGCATAACCATTTCTATTAAAATTGGGTAAAATATCATAGCCGTCGTATGAGTTCAGTTCTTAAAGAATAATTCTCCCGTTGATTATTTATTTCATTTATAATCACCTTTTCTAAGGTTAAAAAAAGGAGAGGGGGGGGGGGGGGGGGGGGGGGGGCCC